AAACTGAAATTTCAATGCCGGTCCTAATTAAATTTCCATGACTGTATATCAAAAACGGCTAGGTAAATTGGCAAAATGGACTGTGGTGTAACACTAATTTTGAAACAGACTGCATTATGCCGGAAATTAGTTTCAAAGAGCTGATTTTTTCTGCCGCATTTTCATTCATGCTATCGCCTTATGACCGGTGCTTGAATTCTACGACACTTTTGCCGAATCCGCATCAGAATCTTGTCACAAATAACAATGAAATCCATTCTTCTTGAATTATTTTACCAAATCGGACCGAAGGGAGAGTATCTACTTTTTTCATAATTGCCGAATATATTCGATAACACATTGAGTCGACAGAATAATTCCTAGAGAAATGGTATACTTCGAGAATATATTCGGCAAACATGGAAATGCAAAATTACATTTTTCACTGAAATTGAAATTGTAAAGAACATTTTGATTGTTGGAAAAAAAGATTCGTCACGAAAAGAAATCGGCCGTATTTACCTTGATTCATTTCCTGGTCATCAGTTGGACCCTAGGGGTGAGACACAAATTCTAGTAGAGTCTAGCTTCATTCAATGTTATATATTTTTGACATAAAGCCTCTAATTTTTCTAGTTTTGGTGCAAAAGTGCTATTATTTCTAGTAAAATCGCTTGCACTGTCAATACTTATATGGAAGACCTAACGGGACTATTTTGTAAACAATAAACAATACGTCCATAAGCGGTAAAATTGGCAAACTTAATTCACTAATTTCTTCTATTTATCCTATTATCGTTGAATAATGTTCTAATTTTACTCAGTGTTCCGTGTCTCCCCCCCTTGGTTAGATCTGATGCGTTACGGTCGTATGTCTTAAAAATATTCAGCCATTGGTTTATGTAATCAAACATTTTATCAAATTGATGAATATCAACCGAACCGCCATTCGACGTATCAAACATTGCTGTAAAAAGTTGAAAATGTCCCATGAATTTCTTTTTTATTATCTCTTAGGATAATTGATAAAACATTTGATAAACATAAATAACATCAAGTCTCAACTTACAAACCAACAATGTACAGCATCGATCCGAGAAATTTTTCCCATTACCATTTTGTAATGTTGATGCAATTCTTTTGGTGCTATCTTTCCAGAACGATCCGTATCGTACCGGGATAGCCGCCCTGTGGTGCTTGAAAAGGATAACCGCCTCCATAGCCACCCTTTAATACACAAATCAAAACCAAAATAACACCGTTCAGACCAAATGTCAATGCATTATTTTACTGAACTATCAACATTCAAATGTTCACTCGCAAAAATGTAAAGATTAGCATTAGCACTTCGATAAAACGATTAGAATATTGTCTGTGAATCGTAATTTTTTTTCGTATAATAAAATGCTTGGAACACTAATTCAAATGAATGAGACACACCGCAACAACAGTCTGTTGTAATGCTCTTTTCTTCTTTGTAGTCCTATGATCAAATTAATGAGCGGCATATTTTTCGATAGTTTTTCAATTCGTACAGAATATCCTTGATCAAATATCCATTCACTGAAAGATACACAATTCGAAGATTATAAACTAATAAAAAAAATTCTTATTTAATTTCTTGGTGAATGTCAACTTTCTCAAAAATTTCCTAGTTCCCTAACTAACCGCATTTACTTACCGGATAAGACATAATGTTCTTTTTTTGGTTTGTTACCAGAAATTAAGAATGTAAAAATAGAAAACAAGCAAAAATGTATATAATGTAAATAATAATGAATAATAATGAATGTATACAATGTAAAAAGATCGAATGTTTAGCGAATACTAGAATGTCAAAATGTAAAAGCGACCCGGTAAACTGTCAACGTGAACGTCGAACGAACAAACATAAATAGATGATGTCACAACAGTTATTGACCGTAAATGTCTTGGTGTGCAAACGTTTTCTCTGCATTTGAATGAGTATTCGTTTCTTTGAGTGTTCGCATGTGACAAGTGAAACACATACATGTTGTACCATTGAAGCTGATGGAAAAAAAAACAGAAAATCTGTTGCTTCAAGTACTCAACGTATTTGAATTGGACTTGGGAATTCGGTTATGCCGAATGTGTATCGCTTTGGAAAAAGCTCCTAAACTTAGGCAATCGAAATCCATTTGTTGTAACGAATTTCTTGTGAAATTTCATTAAAATCAAATTCAAAATAAAAATCGATTTTTTTCGACCGAAAAAATCATATTTTACTTCCTTTTTCAAAATTGTTCAAGAGACAATCATTAAAATTTCTCTTTTCATATGTTTAATCAATTCTATTTCGGAATGCAGACACTAAGTGGTTTGTTGTGAATCTAAAATCAGTTGATGTTTTTATTTTTAATGTGCGTTAACAAGAAATTCCATACACAATTTATGATTAACACATTTTCTTCCGCTTCAACTTATTTTTCATGAGAATATTTGACACATAAACGAAAGGGTTGAAAGTATGCAAATTCAGCAAGCGAATTTCGATCAGTTTCCAATGGAAAATGGCCAACTTCAAATCAATCGCCATCTGACATTTGATTCATCAAGCCGCTTGGCGCTCTCATTCCAGTTGTGTATTTTACTTAGCACAAACAATTTTCGAACAATCAGCTTAACGTTCAAGGTATAAATCCATTTTCAAACTTGGAATTGATATGCATCAACACATAGGATTATTGTGAGATATTTTGTATTAATTTTTGTTTTTATTTCTGTTTGTTTTCAGAAGTTTGCACTGTTCAATGCGCAAAGCACACATTGAAACGACACAATGAGCCAACGAAACATAATGGAATGTAACAGTCGACCGCAAAACTCAGAGCAAAACCAAAATGAAATTGCAATTGCCCGCAAAATCCAATGGTACTTCCAACTGTATGGCGGACCACAACCCGAGGTCTTCAAACTGAACACCCATTGCTGGGACAAAATTTTCGATTGGCTGTCAATGGAAGATGTTCTTTCATTTGGTCGAACATGCAAGGCTTTCAATTGGGTCGCCGGCGAGTATTTCAAAGAGAACTACCCAGAATACCAACTATCAATCGACAGCAGTAGCGATTCTTCCATAGCGAAGGATTTCAGTCCATATGTGCAGAGCATTATGTTGAATTACAAAATGACTGAATCGGACTGGAGTCTCGTATCAAATTGCAAGTCACTGAGGCATATTGAATTTGATCGAACTACGTTAACTAAATCGTCTATAAACACTGTTGAAAATGTTCTCAAAACGGTTGAAGAAATTTCATTGTTCGAACCCAACATCAATGTTTCCGTGTATGGAGATTTTCACAAACTGTGTGCAAAATTGAAACGTTTGGATATTTATGATGATAAGGTGGATGTTTTCCTTTCGCAAAAATATCCAGTGCTCGAACGGTTAAGGCTATATACTGATCCAAGTGGCGATGGATTGAACACGTTTTTCCAAATGAATTCAAATGTACGAAATCTTACGTTCCGGTTTGCAGATTCTATTCGGAATATTCGAGACTGCAACATTAACTTGGATGATTTAACCATTAAAATATTTAGTGATAGATATTACGACTTCAATATCTTCGATGTTTTGAATCAACTTTACCAGTGTGGTTTTTACAAACACTTGCACATCGGCGGATGGAACGAGGATCATCAACTAGCTGGATTGCAAGGTCTTGTGACTCTGTATGTCCAAATTGGGACTGTACATGAAAGAAGGAATGTCATGCTGCCGCCACTGCCAGATCTAAAGGAACTTGGTTTCATTGCTAATATGACTAAATTACGCAACAAAGGATTGAACGTGACCGAAATTCCCAACTTGTGTACAAATCTACAACGATTATATATATGTGAACCATCCGTTGATGACATTTTACCGTTCATTCGTCGTTCACAACGTTTGGTTGAGATCGAAATTGACGAATTTGAAGGGAAAGTAATCGACATCACAGCACTAAATAAAGAACGCAAAAAACTGAATGGAGCACGAAAAGTGACATTCTACGTTAGTGAGGACATTTACTTAGCAACAAAATGGGCAACAAAGGATATCAACCTCAGCTTGATCGAAATACGACGCAGCGAATCGTACGCAGGCAAATTTGCACACACTTTACGATGCGGTTGGTAGGAATAATACAGTAAGATCAGCAGCATCATTAATCTAATTCTAAAAAATATCATTCAAGATGTCTCAAAGTTCAAGCCTTGCTGCAATTCAACCTGAACGATCTAAATAAATAGAAAAAATGTCAAAACTAAACACCATCATGTCATATATGAATTAAAACTTTATTATTTTTGCGATTCATTTGTAAAATTGATGTAAATATGCAAATGTCAGTTCGAGTAAGGTGCAATTTTCCATGTATCGAATAATGTTTATTGTCTGGATAACCTTCGAATTTCGGTTTGATTTTTTGTCCGCAAAACAAAGATTATATTTCAATAAATTTTAATTGAATCGCAAACTCTGCGAATCAGTATTTTTCTCTCTTTCTCTTAAAATCGAATCTCTCGTATTTCTGGTAGAAAAGGTGGAATCACATCTGAAGTGAATCTTGCTGAAACATTCTAAGGGCTTCTATGTCGGTTTGGCATTCGAATTTTCATTCACAAATTCGCGTTCAGTGCCATGCATTCGCAACGCTGCCATATGATTTCTATGTAAACATTCGCACTCGCATTCGTATAGCAGTCGTATTTCGCTGTTCTCGAACATTCTCACGAATACGAGTGCGTGTGTTTACATAGAAATCATACGGCAGCGTTGCGAATGCATGCACACGAATGAACGAATGAATTATGTAGTCACAAGTTCGCTGTCATAGCCGCATTCGTCGCATTCGCAAACATTCGAATTTTTGTTCTGAAATGCGAATGCATTCGCAGCATTCGCGAGAGATAAATCCCCTTAGGAAACATTACTTGAAACTAACAAGAAATAATGATGAAAATATCAGGTTGTTTATGTCTTTTAGCAAATATTGTGTCAATTACCAGAAATGCGACAAAGAGGAAGCATCGAAAAAGTTGTGATTAAACAATTTCATGTCACATTTGATGTGTGAATGTGTTTTTCGTCTTCATTACAGATCACTACGAGATAAGAACATTGTGGTGTTTTAAATGTCAACAGAGTGTCAGTCCCAATCGAATCAGAACTGATTAGAGGAAGTATAAATAGGCGATTCACATTTTATGCTTGTTTAGTTCGGCAAAAATGATTGAAAAATGAAGGCATTCATATTGGTAGCATTGTTCAGCTGTTTCGTAGGTGAGTCATACATTTTCATTTAAATTGTGTTCGTAGTAAATTGACGTAATCGTTTATATATTGCAGCTGTTACTTTTGGCGCTATCCCATTGAGTGGACATATCATTGGTGGTGAACAAACTGGAATCGGTGTTGCATTTTGAGCAGTTGAGTTTGCGTTATGATGGTGATCACATATGCGGGTGTAGTTTGATATCAGAACCCGTGCTTTGACAGCTGCTCAATGCCGAATTCCAACATCACTTGGAGTTACTGATCAAATGATATGCACTGGTAGCAGTCAGAGTGGAGTGTGCAATGGTGACGAGGGAGGCCCACTTGTTGTTGATGGTTTTCTAGTTGGAATTGTTTCAGCGACTGGAGGTGCACACATCCAAATTTCTTGGCCACATACACACGTGTCTCATCGTATGCTGATTGGATCAACAGCATATTGACTGAATAGTCCGGACGTGAAATGATTCATAAACGGAAATAAGTCGTGTACATATTTTATTTGTTTCTCTTCTGTACTATGCCCGAGAATGGAAATTTTTTTTTCTCGTCTTAAAATATATGAAAATTAAACCAAAAACACTTCATTTTTGTTGAAAAGAATCGGTAAAGCGTCTTTGAATCTATCTCTGATTTGTATGGTCAAGGATATATGAATGATTTGTACGCAATAAGGCACGAATCACATACAAACACATGAACAAGCATTCTTCGCATTTGCCCCGGCGTGATCCCGAGTTATTTGTCTGTGAGGATGACACCGAAACCACTTTGCCCATGACACGCGACATCGACGGCACGCTAAACTAAATATATTATTAATCATTTCATTTAATAATCTGGATCATTTGTTTGCTGCTACAGTACAAAAACTCTCGATACACTTCTATGTAATCTATTTCAACTAATATAAATAAATATTCGTTACGCAATAAGAATGCTCAAAATTTATTCTTTAAAGCGTTCCTCTTTTATTTACACACACAAAAACACATAAAATTATTTCTCATTTCTCATTTCTTTGATCAACCATTTTGGTCTTTTTATTTCATTGAAACCTTATTAGTCTAACAGATTTTAGAGTAAATCTTTAATGAATAACTGAAAGCAAATGATGGAAAAAATGATCGCTTTAGTTGCGTTCTATTTTTGGAAGTAATTCAATACAAATGTGTGCGTGGACTTGATAAAATACAAAAAAGTGCAATTATGTATGCATATATCTATTTTTATAAATAAGGCAATGGAATATCAATGCAATGGAAATCATTCTATTTTGTACGAGACGTCTCATATTGGTTCTTAAAAATGAATATTCATAAAAAAAATTATACATAAAAGTGTGTTTGTTGATGACATGTAACGTTTGCATGCTTTTCTTTCTCTTTTAAATGTAAATAAAATCAGTTGTCATCATATAATTGAAATGTTTTGTTTTGAACTAAAAATGATCATGTTCAAGAATTGCAATATCATTTGAATTAAAAGAAAACAAGATCTTTTTTTTTGTAAAAATGAAAAAAATATCGATTTTGGCACTAAAATTATTGCAGTATTTTGTAAGATTTCGGTTCTTATTCTAAATATTTAATTGAGCTGCCATTTTAATACTGTGTCGTTGGGGCAGAATGACATTTGTTTGCGTCTCGCACGAATTACGTGTTCAATTTGATGGATGTGGCATGCAGATCCCAATCATTTTTCTGCAGGGCTTCAACGCATTCCTCAAATGATATGCTCCGTTTCGATTTTAATGCATTTTGAAGTGAGATTATTTTTATCGCACGATGCACATTCCATTCAATGAAGTCCAATGCGATGATACACTGTTCTGGGGTGGTCTGAAAATATAGAATAATAAACGTGTCAATTCATTTGTTTTTCAAATATGCAGTTTGCTTTTCTTTCGTTTGTCTTACATTGGTTCCCAAGACTTTTGACATAATCCTCACTTCATCCGATTCGATGCCACGTTCTTTGCCTTTGGGTTTTTTGTTTGCAAATTCCAGCAAATCTTCACAGCTCACGGAATTGGAATCTTTTAATTTTCCCTCCGATAGCTCATCAATTGACTCATCGCCACTAATATCTTCGTCAGTATTTGAACGATGTGTGATTTTATTACCACCACTAGATGTACTGGCACACTCATCGGCCGATTCACGGAATTTATTAAATAGTGCATTATCGGTCAATTCGTTTTTTGGCTGTGCATAATTCGGGTATTTATGTGAAAATTCACGTCGCTTACGCTCAATATCATTATTTACATTAGTATTTTCGTACGATGCTACCTCTGAACCACAGTTCGGTTGTTGGATCATTGGTGCATTCGCTCGTGGAATATCATAGTTTTCGGATTCAAACAAAAAACTGTGAGCCGTGCTATTGCTACTCATATCGCCCACTTTATTAATGTCACCCTCAAGTATCGACTCAAAATGCAACGATGCCGAATCCGTGTTGTCCATATGCATTCGCAACGCATCCAAATTTTCATACGTTCGACATTCATCCTCGGCAAAATTGTTTTCGATGAATTTTTTCCTATAATTTAAAATGCAATTGGTTTGAGTTGTTTGTATTGTTGCATGAATTGAAATGAATTATCTCATGACTCACCAAGATGATGTATACTGTTTGAGTTTCATTACTTCAGCCGGTTTGGTTGACGTCCTCGGCATGTTATAGTTGATTTTATTCGAATTCGATAGAGACTTTGCACCGCCATCGATTTCGTCGTGGTTTATGGCCGCCGAAAATGCAGACAATGGATTTTTCTCTTCCATTGGTGACGACACTTTGCTTAACGTCCTCTGTAGCCCAGTCGCCGGAATGATGAGTGGATGTTTACGAACGTGTCGCTTGACATTCGTCAATAATACTTTGTTACGATCGCGAGGCGGCAGTGGAATTGGATTGAGATTTTCGATCTCTTTGTTGCCAATGAACTTTTGTGTGTCGTTGTGATGAATGTTCACATCACGTTCAGAGAATGTATATTGTGTATTTGTTAACAAATAGCTGGGACTTTCACAGGCATCGTCTTGATTGCCATTTGCATCGATTGATGCACTTCCATCGATGATTGTCGTTGCATCAATGGAATTGACTTTCATTCGTGGTCGAATGATGCGATAATTCTTATCGCGTAATATGTGCAATGGATTCGTGTCGGAATCGGCTTGACTTTGGGTTAGTTTGCTTGGTGTTGAGCTTCGATTCGGCAATGTGGTTGGTCGTGGCGCTGGTTTGGTTGGCATTTTCATTTCACTGGTACCTGGCATATCAAATGCACGAAATAGAAGAGTGAATTTTATTATTAAAAATTGATGAAAGAGTATGAAATGATAAAGGAATTGAAGGATTGAAAAATCCAACCCAAAATACTTGACAAACTATAGAAACAAATGTCTTACAGTTTTGTGTGATTGAGGGTTGAGCGGAAGCAAGAGAATTGTCTGGAACTATTGGTGACGAACGATCGCGTCCATCTATTGCCGTTGATTTGCCGGTGGGCATTTGTAGCGCTGACATCGACGATGACAATTGTAAGGAATTCTTCAAATTGGCTATTTCATAGTTGAATCGATGCAATGTCGAGGCCGGTTTTTCCACAAGGCTGTTGTATGCTTCGCGACATTCCTCAGTAATGAAATCCTATTTTATTTTGAGGGGGGTGTGGGGAGTTGATGTTTATGTGTGCAAATGAGGGGGGCATGTGTTATTTGGGTTTGGATTTTGTATTCGTGTTTGGTTAAAGTGGATGCGCAGAAATTTTGTTATTTCGGGATTTTTGTTGTTGTTGTTGTTGTTGTTGATCGGGTATTAATTGGATTCGGCGCATGAGGGATGAGAATTTTTTAAATAAAAAAAAAAGAAATCAAAATATAAACAAAAGAATGCAAAAAGAACAAATAATAATGAAAATTGCAAAATATGAGAGAAAATAAAGGAAAAATTAGGTAAAAGTAACAAAAAAAGTTTTCAAATAATTCAAAAATAGCGTTTGGATAAAACAAAAACCAAAAGCGATCGTCGGATTAGCTTTGACCATCCAAATAGTGTATAAATGTGTGTGTGTGTGTGTGTGTGTTAGAAGAACAACGGTTAGAAACAACAAACAAATTGATATTTAAGTGGTGTTAACGATTTTTTATATTTGCTTGTTTCTTTGTTCATTGTAAATTTGGTTTGGTTTTTTGTTCAACCAGAAAATGCTTTCGCTTTCTACATTATTCTTATCATAACGAAAAGTTAATATATTCCGAATAATCTCAATTGCAGTCAAAATCAATTGTTTATTTTCAATTTAATTATTATTTCAGTTTTCTTTTAATCGAATAGCAGACTTATTTTTAATTTTCGGCTAAAAATGCTGAGCCTTTTAAAATATTTTGATTAATTTTTATTTTTCCATTTGGATGCAGATAAAATTCGTCGCTATTCATACATTATAATCGATATAAGCCCATTTAGTTTAATGTGGACAAAATTGACCACGCCAAAAAAAACACATTTTTAATTTTAAAAAAAATTAGTTGATTTTTTCCTCACATTGATTATCTGGTTTTGTGTGATTGCTCTTCAAAAAGAGAGAAAAAATATGATCAATACAACGAGTTGAAAATACATATTCATTGCTTTGTGGATTAGAGGCTGTGTCTTATTTACATTGCGACCAGATTTTGTTCATTCGTTTGTTCGTATGAAGAATTGATAATCGTAAGGCCCACAACCGTGTGCAATTTTCCCTTCAAAATGTCACTCAAATTTGTATGTCAAATAATGAAAACAATTCGTGCTATCGAGCAGAAAAGGGTACAAATACAAGTATTTTTGGTTTGTTGAATCGGCTTTCTTCAGTAAATTTAACGATTGTTCTGTTTTTGTTTATCTTCTGACTTAGCAGAGAAGTTAAGTAATTTTTGTCTGTTTTTACTTCTGTGTTATTTCTTTGTTTTTCATTTAACAATGTGTGATGCAGTTACGCTACAATATAATTGTGTTTATAAACTTGTATATGAATAGGGTGAAAAAAAATGGTGCAGCAAATAGTAGTATAAATGGTATTGAGATGATTGTTATAGTAGGAGCCGGCGAGCAAAAGCAGCCGCCCCAAAATGACTAACATTTATTTTCTTCTCATTTTTTCATGTTAAAGAGAGTGAACGTTTAGAATGTTTTCATATTGATAGCAATTTTTTTAGCATTTAGCAATGATTAGATTTGTTAAATATATATATATTCGATAATACTCTGCTATCATCGTCTCCCATTGATTATGTAATTGTTTAATTTGTTTTTGTTTTCATAGTTTAGTCACAAAATAGATTGTAACGTCATAGAATTACTATCTAAATTCGCGCGCGCAGCCAACAAACAAAAAAGAAATAGTAAGAAAGAGAGAACAACAGTCAAAATGGATTAAAAACAATTTATGGTGCTGGACTTGGGGGTAATCGAGGATTGAAATCGGCAGTTGGAAACTCAGTTTCAGTGCTGGAAGAACTATCACTTGAAAAGTCACATCGAACCTAATCAAACAAATTGAACATGTTAAACGAAAAAAAGTTTAGAATTGAATCGTTTTTTGATTTAGGGCGATTAGATGTGGTTGTTTCGTTTACCGTGTGCAACGATTGTACGGATTGCTTTTCTGGCCACAATAAATTGCTGTTCTGTGCCGATACATGAATTTTCTCGGGCCATTGAAATGTGTTTGCCGCTGGTGTCGCTGCCGCCGCCGCCGATGACGACGACGATGCATTGCTGCTGGCAGCCGTGACTTGTTTGCTTTGCATTGGATCATTGTTGGATGGTTTCGGTTCAAATTTACTGGGACTTTGTACATCTTGTAAAAAGCTTTGTGTGGTGGGACTTTTACCCGTTAATTTGCTCACATCAAACTGTGAATATAGGCTGTAGGCGTTCAAATCATATGTGCGATTGGTGGCTGCGGGTGGAGGTGGTGGTGGCGGCAATACATAGCTGTTCCGAATAGTTTGCTGCTGCTGTTGGCGTCTACGTGAGCTACTGCTACGTTGTGCGTTTCTCTCAAAGTTGATTGGCGTTTGATTGGGTGTGTGTGGCGATGCGACCCTCTGTTGCTCCTCGTAGTCGGCGTATTGAGCATGAGGATAGTTCATTTTTCTTCCTAAATAATTTTGCATTTGACGATCACTAGCATAGTTATTGTACTGTGGTGCACTCTTGATACTAGCATTCGAACCGTACAGCTTGTCCTGGCTCGGTGTAAATGAAATATTGCTTTGAAAATGCGCCTGAGTCTTGCGATTTTTCAATCGAATATCCGACTCAGAATTTGTATGCCAATTCTTAAAATCGAACGTGTCATCATTTGATTTAATTGGCGACGCAGCGGAATTGCGGTGCGATCGATAGTTGTTATGACGACGACTATCGATGGTTCGGAAATTCTCAACGCTTCGGTGGTTGAACTCATTCTCACTGTCGGACGATGAACTCGAATCTAAAATGATTGGATTGTAGCTAAGACGACGCAAATTTCGAGCACGAATGCTTTTTGGCTTGTGCGAGATGGTATTTCTTTGGCGTCGTCGTACAGCCTGTCCATCGCTGCTGTTTTTTCTACCGACAATCGTGGAGTTGTGCAACTTTTCAAACGGTGGCTCTGACAACACCGGCGATTTCAAATCATAATTCTCCGTAAACGACATCGATCGTTGTCTAGTCGGAAACGAACCATTCGCCTTAAGATGGGCATAAGCAGCGCGTGCCTCTTCGATTTGGGTTGTATAACTTGGGCTAAAATGGGTATCCTGTGGACTATAGCTGCTCTTTTGACTACCGCGACGCGATGATGTGTTGGTTTCACGGGATGCAAATCCAGTGTCTGGCGTACTAGATCGTTTCCCATCCAATAGCTTATCGGTTGAGCCACTTTCATTCAAATAGTGAACACTGCCATTAAATTGCTGTTGCGATACTTGTTTGTCCAACGGGCTGTATTGTGAGCTCTTTGTTGATTTTGGGCTCACCTCAATGCTGCTATAGTTTGTTGGGATTTTACTCAATTTCAATGCCGTATTCAAAATTTTCGGATTGATGTTGTTCGCATCGTACGTATAATTTTCGCCAAACAACGTTTCCGCCGAATCATTCTTTTCTAAATCGTTGAATGTTTGTAAAAAGTCCAAATTTAATGCTTTCAGCGTATTTTCGATGTCAATCAAATTTTCGCCAATAAAATCTTTGGTCTTTTGACTCAACGTGCATACTTTGGACGATGAACTTTCGAAGCCATCATTCAATGCATCATAATTGACACCATTGATGCCACTTTCTCGTTCCATGCCCGGTGCTGATATGTCAAACTTGAAGGGGCGCGATGAAAATTCGCGCATTTTTCGATAACGATATTCAAACGACGGATCCCGTTCACAATGCGGATATCGCATGTCGATCGAATGAAACTTTTCAATTTCGGATAATGAACGAAAGCGCTTTTGTTTTGAATGTTTAACAGAAAAATTCAATCAAACAGAACATAAGACCAATCGTAACGAAATAAAATCAATAACAAAAAAACAACGTGTTTAAAAAAAAAAAAAAAAAAAAAAACAGAAAATAAATGAAATAACAATTTTTGTTCAATTGCACAATGTCGATGGTCATGATATTTTTGTTTGGTATTTTGTGGAAGTTTTCGAAATTGGGATGAAGTTCATTTGAGATTTGAAAAAAAGAGTATACAATGAACAAAAAATAGAGATTAGTTTCAATACTTATATTTTATGATTAAATTTGCAATCAAACGAATAACAAAGCACAGCTAAATACAAAAATAGATTATTTAACTACAAATCAAATGCTTTGGTAACATAATCAGAAAACTAGTTTGTTAAAAAAAATAACGTTAAAACAAAATAAAATGGGATTATCGATGCCAACGTGTACATGTGTGTTTTGGTTTTTTTTATTGTTAGTGAGAATTTGTGTGCATTTTCAACGGGATCAAACGAAAACGAAACGAAGAAAAGTGGATTTTTTGTTTTGAAATACAAGAGAATAGTGGAAAATGAGAGAAGTTTACATAAATATATAAATTAGAATGTGTGCTGTGGGGGAGACTAAATACAAACACAAAGTAGCTTCACAACATCTATTCCAACAGGTGAAACGGAAAAAATAAACATTTGACGAAAAAAAATGAAAAAAAATAACATAAAATGGAAATCCAACTAAACGAAAAAGTGTCTTCGTGTGCTTGAGTGCAAAATGATTGGGATATTTACCTGAAGATCGGGTACATTTTTCGCTTCTTCGGAAAAATTGCGCGTTTTGAATCCGTGTGAGCCTTTGTGATGTTGACTATTTGGAGATGCCATCGATGAGTCTTTATCGCCGCTATTTGAATGATGAGCCAAATGAGGGAAACGAAAGCTGAACTTTCGCTTTGGGCTTTGAGTATTTGCTGAGTCGTTCACTAAGTCAGTCATCGATCTAAACAAAACCAATTCCAACAAATTGAATAAATTAGACATGTTCCAAACAGAGAAATGGACAAATGAAAACAAAATTGCGAGTAAAAATTATGGTTTCGGCTGGTTACCTTGCACTGATTTCGTTGGCAAAATCAATAGCTTGGTTGAGAATTTTTTCGTCTTTTGTTGAGATTGGTTTCACATTACCAGCTCCGCTGGCCGAATTTCCCAATTTCTTTTTCGATTTTAGCGACGCGATCGAACCAGGCAATAGGCCACCACTATTCTTTCGCTGAAATTTTGCTGCAAGTTCAGCGATTTCGTTTTTCTTGTTATTATTCTCAAAATCGGGCGATTTCAATTCACCATGTTCACTATTGGCGCTCATTGACCGGAACATAAAATCCATTTCGTCGAGTAGCGATGGTCCCAAATCGAACTTTTCGCCAGGCATTTCATCGTCGGATATTTCATGATATTCATGTGTTGAATCAGCAGCAGCCGCTGTTGCTGTGTCGCCCACCCATTTCATGCTGTTCTTCCGATTGTGTTCCTATTCAAAAGATTTACATGCACAACAATTAGCATACTTATCGACTATCTGTTTGGCCTAGCCCATTGGCAGTTTTAGTATGTGAGCCACAATGTTACCTTTGAAAAGTTTTCCTCTTCCAAAATGTTTGTGAAACCACCACCTTCACTGAGAATTTTATTGTGCGTTGAATTATCTAAATTGACAAACGGATTTGATGAGGTGAAGCCAGCATTTGAAGCGGCGGCAGAGGTGACGGGTGTCGATGAGTTTTGATTTGGAAAATCGAATGATGAATTGAAACCATCGTTGGTTTGTGCGGAGTGTGCATTCAAAAATGTGTGATTATTTTCAGCAAAGTAACCGCTAGCCGTTTGAAGTGAATCGGGACTGGTTGGCGTTGATGGTAACAATGGCGTTTGCTCAATATCTTCCGATGGCTTGTATGGAGTGACGATTTGCCTTGGCACATGATTGTACTTTATTTTTGTGTGTGTGTGTGTGTGTGGGTGTGTGTTTGACAAGAACCAGCAAATCGATTATTATGTGAGTTAAATTAGGATTAAAATTGCAAAATGAATGATTCGATATTTCTTACCGATTGCGAATTGGATGATGATGACAAAAATGCAACGTCACCGAAGTAGGCTCCATCTAATCCAACGTGACCGGTGTGTTTTAGATCGTTCTGAGGACCAGATATCATTTCGGGGCAAAGTTTGCGTCGACTACTCGTACGCTCACTTCCCCGAACAAATGAATCTCGGTTCACCGATGATGGCAGACTATTACCCAAATATGCGACCGTATTGCTTGGATTGAACATTCCCGTTTTGCCCGAATTTAAAACACCTTTCCAATACGCCGAACTGTTTGGTTTGTCTAGCACAGTGATTATATCATTTTGCCGATACATCAATCGATCCTTTTTGGCTTCGCTGTACGCGCTAATTGTTTTCAATTGCTCGGGTTTCATATCGGGTAGCAACGAATGAATTTCACAGAATTTCGGCCGCTTGGACGGATCGTGTTGCCAACATTTTAACATCAATGTGTAATACTCTTTGGGACAACATTCCGGTTGTTCAAGACGCTGTTGTAAAATGGGAATCGGGCGAAAAATTAATAATGAAATAAAGTGAAGAGATTAGGAATGAATGAACTCACTTGATAGTGTGGTTCGTCTATTGCTTCAAGAATTTGATGGCCGGTCAATGCGGCCCATGGTTGAAAACCATATGAAAACATCTCTGCAGTAAAAAAAAAAACAGAAAACATTGAAAAACGTGTTGAAATTAATTTTTCGTTCTGGTAATATTTCTCTACTGAAGGAAGAGTTGAATTGATGATCTGATATGAAAAAAAAAACACACCGAAAAAATATGAAAATGAACAATTTAATAAATTTATATACGAACCCCACAAGCACACGCCGAAAGCCCATACGTCTGATGCATTTGTAAAACGCAAAAAGTTTATACACTCCGGAGCGCACCTGCACAATAATTTTCGTGATAATACCAAAATGACATGGTTGAAAAATGACTTCATTCAGAATGAAAAATGGTTCCGTTTAAAGGAACCAAAAAAAGCATTTTATCCACTTCGTTTGCATCGATGAGATTAATCGTGGCATTGCAGAGACTGTGTTGCTCAACAGAAACGTAAAAGGGTTCCTGTTATAGGAACTACATTCAAAGTCGCATACTTTTGCGTTTCATACGGAACTTCTCTGCAACATCCCGATTACTCTCGTCCACACATTTCAATGAGTGAAAAAAAAATCCATGAAAAATTCTCTTCTTCTCACCAGGCAATCGGAAGTTTTAAGTTGACGTTAAAATTAGTTTGGTAATAGTCTTTGCCGACGCCCAGTGCCCGTGACAAACCGAAATCGGAGATTTTTACTTTGCTTTTGCTGAACACCAGAATATTCCTGGCCGCCAGATCTCTATGAAACGATGATAAAAAGAAACAAATTATCATCAAACCAAATTTCCATTCAAAATTGAATTGTACGATGAAATTGTCTGTTCGATAAAACTTACCGATGAATGAGTCGCTTGTTCTCCAAATACATCATACCGCTGCAAATTTGTTGAGCAAATTCACATAGCGTTGGCACGGTTAAAAAACTGACACGAAGCCCAGAGTCTTTGAGACATTCCAGCAATGAACGAAGATGTGCCAGTTCGGTAACAAGCATCAGTGAATCGGTGTCGAGCACAACGCCATACAGTCGTACAATATTCTCGTGTTCGATGGAATGCATGATTGCTGCTTCCTTCAAAAATTCCATCGGATTGGAGAGCATGCGCTCGCGGCACAAACATTTTATAGCAACTTGAATCTAAAAAATGAAATTACCAACAAACATAATGAAATTATGCGCTGTCGAAAGTGAATGCTCTATCGAATGCTTGTCTCGTTGCTGAAAAATACTAACTCGTTCATTTCCATTCGTCCAAACTCCTTGTTGTACGATGCCAAACTCACCGACACCTAATTGCTTGTTGACGCATATCGAATCGGCTGGTATAATGTGTTTATTGCTAGGCAATTTACTCGGTGAACTGATTGTCTTGAGCGTTTCCGTTGACGATGCATTGTTTAAAGTCTGTGTTGAAAACGAAAATCAAGGGAATAAACAGAAAAGATGTTTACCATAAAAAAAACGTCAACAGAGAACCGATTCAAACAGACGCAATCAACATAGTCATTAAAACATAATGAACTACTCTTTTTCCATCCATGAAAATGGTAAATATTCATCACGATTGCCGTTTATAGATAAACAAATGAAGAGGAATGATTAAAAGTGGTATAGAACGAACAACTTACTCCAACTTCCTCCCGTTTTCCGGCTGGATTTTGCAAAAGTCGTTTGATTTTACTGAGATAACCATGTGGATAATACTTTTCATAGAATTTTCGTAATCGTCGTATTTCCGGTTTCGATAGACCGACTTGCTTCAAGTCCTCATCGCTGGCATACTTCAAATGCGGTACCAATGTTATTTTCAATTCATTCCTATATACACACAGACACAAGAATAAAAATAAGAGGAAAACAAGCAGAAATCAAATAAAGAGAGTTCGAAAATAGTGGAAAACGATATCCTTGGCTTTTGTTTGCGCTCTTTGATGCCCATACCCACTTGCATGTACTTACTTAATGGCATTGTAATAGTGCTGTAGTTCAGACTCGACCAGAAAATCGTATAATTCAATCACAGGCTTCGGCTCTGCACCAAGAACGCGCCGCGTAAGTGAATACATAAAAAGAAAGAATGAACAAGAAAAATCGATTAGTTTAATGAAATAGATCGATGTGTAGCTGTAATTAAGCAGCTAAAGAATGTCTTGTTGTTGTTGATACCATCGATTAATGATGGTTATAATAAGTAGAATAAACGGCGACCGCTTTACCGCTGCCGCCGTCTTCTTCGTCGTCATTGCTATAAGAATTTCTTAAATTGATTTGCGAACTAGGTTGCGCGCAATTTTTTTTCCGGTAAATATAGATTTTACTGTACGCTTTGTCATTGTCATGGGACAAACAGTGTACGGATCCCTTTATTCCTACCTATCATGTATGTGCTAATTATGTTGATGTTTGTGCATATGAATCGATTTTTTTCTACATCGGTTTTACCTCGTGCAATCCACTAGAGTCTGGACCTTTTGATCGATAATCATAAATTAAATGGAAATTTAATGCCGGCTGTAACCATCTCAAACGGCAAATACATGCATGCGTTCGAAATATAGATGGTTGGCACGCCAAATGCTCACTCAGTTGAAATGAAGTAACGAACCAACATACACTTAGATACACACACACACACACGCTCATAGGCACACGGGTGTTGTGATTCTTTTAATTTCAAAAGTGAAACGAAACGATTTCAAATGGCTTTGAAGGGTTTTACATGATTTTTTTTCGCATTGGTTTATGCGAGAGCATGAGGTGCACTTGCGATGTCATGCTTGCTGAAGCCACAAAGACCCATTTAAAATATACTAGACCGGTGAAGCGTTTGTCGCACACAAGGTAATGACGTTTTACCAGCAGTGTGGCGTTATGTGTCACTTTCCATCAATAAAAGAATGGATGGTCTAAATGTTTATGCTACGCGATCAATTTAACTTTAGTCATTGACCCATATAAATACGGTCGAAAGATACGGTTGCAATGGGCTCGAGAGTGAGAGAGAGAGAGAGAAAGAGAACGAGCGAGCGAAAAAACCATAGAAAATACATGCACACCAATGAAGGATGTTATTGCTCAGCTGACCAATCAAAAAGATAAAGCCATAGAACCATTTTTCATTACATGGCTCTGGCCAATTTTTGCCAAGCGTTTAGCTCCAACGTTTTTTTTCTTGTTTCGCTGCTCAAATGGAATGCGAAGCCAATGTAGCGATATTAATTGAATGTGAATTTTGACGATTTCAAATCTCAAATTCGGTTGTTACGAGACATGTCCGGCAACCCATAATGCTTTTTTCCATCTTTCTGTATGCAAGCATCAAATTTGTGTGTTCATTCGATTCGAAAATTACGAAATTGCTCTATTTTTAGGCCGGCTGGTTCGGTGCTCAGAGCGAACATTCAAACATCAACCACATGGATGTCGAAAAAAACAGCACTTGCCACATTCACTCTTTTGCCCTCGTTCCATCCGCTTTCCATTTGTGATTTTCTATTTCCGTACTCGAAAATGCACCACATCATTGCCGATTCTTCTGATTATTTTTTTTCCTTCTCTCTTTCCGTCTCTCGCTTTCAGTTCTCAAACGGACGGAAGAATTCGATCGGGCGAAGAATTGCTGCTTATGCGCGCAGAACATTTTGCAGAAACTTGTAGTGCTATTGAGCTATCGTGCTGCTGGTGTGAATTCCTTTCCTTCTTTCGTCTTCGTTTTATGTAATCGTTCGACAAATTGTTTATTGAATTTTCTTTGTCAATCAATAAAGAAAAAAAAAAGAGACAAATTCAATCATCGCCGGGCTGCTCCTCATCGGTGGTACACACGCACACACACAAAAAACACAACCATTTTACTGTTGAAACACACATCCGTGCGAAACATTTGAATCATCGACTGTGTTCGCTATCAATATCCGCCGCATTCTTTTTTTGCGCCTTTCAACGGTTGCAAAACAATAAAAATTCATAGAACTCGGAACGGGTGGAAAAACGCGTTATATTACACACAAAAGTCACACGTGTGTTCAAGCATCTCTCTGACTTTTTTTTCTCTCGACAATCTCACTCTCTTGTTTTAACAATGCGCACAACGAACAACGGCGGCATAAAATGGAAATGGGCCACCAACCCTTTTACATAAAAATAGGCAAACATTACCCTCCACATACTTGGCATGTCATCCCTCAAACATTCTTTTATGCTACGTTCCAATTATACTGGTTGCTTTTGTTTGGCCTGATTTCAGAACACCTACGTGCAAACGACGAAATGAGTTTGTGTGTCTGTGTGTTTGGCTTTTCGTTATTGAAATTGCATTGAATTCGCATCAAACAATCTATCGATGTTGCACATTTTTATGTGGATATTCATCACAGAAACAATGCAAAACAAAAAAAACTACTACTGAAGACTAGCGAAAACATTTAATATATTGACGGGAAAACTTGAAGGTTTTCACTTATCATATCTTATTGAAAACTGATCTACAAATTCAGGGCAGTTTGTTTCCATTTCATTTGTGCCATGAAAAACTTGCTGGAATTCTCAATTTATACATACATTTTGTTCGTTTTTTTTTTGTCTTTGACGCATCGATTTTCGAACAGTACATACAGTACTGAAATACTTTCTAATACGACATGTTCAGCAAATATTGCGAAGGAAGAATTCAATGTGTGTGTGTGTGTTTTTCGTGTTTCTGTTCGTTCGTGCTATTTTATGTGGCATGCACGTTGCAACTGCAAAGCATCCAGTAGCAGCAGCAAAAATTAAACTGAATAGATTGGCTGATATATGGGTATATAAATTAATCTTGGCACTCAAATTCAATTGAAATCAACTATCGGTGAATGAATACATCGCCCATTAAGATAAATTTCAATAAAAATTTCATTCGATAAATAAAGTCGAACGAGTGCCTAGTTTATGGGTTTAAGCAATTCCATTTAATGTACGTATATATATATAATGTGAACGGGGAGAGAAATGTTTAACCCGATACTTTGATGATCGGGCAAAACCAACAAATAATCGTGTCTTTGACAAGCAACAACGAAATTTTAGCCAAAACATTTGGAAACACTGACTGTGCACATCGGTGCACATGTGTAGAACCTGCATGCATTCCATTTCGGTTCAATAAAATCTAATTTCATTGAAATAACGCTGACACGTGCGAGAGAGACAATAATGGGAATTCAAATGGCGTTTTCACATTAAAAGTGTCGCTGTCGGTTGGATCGGGTCGGTCCAGTTTGATGAATCAGAATGATTTTTTTTTAGAAAATGATGGTCAAGTTCTTAATTAAATTTCATTGCATGTTCCGTCCATGCACATCGTCGCCTAATAGCGGATATGTAAAGTTTTTCGGAAAACGATGTGCACTCTATTTGCCAACCGATTTATTTGACTGAGAAATACTTTGTCAGAGAATGTAAAACAGCGAGGAGAGGGAACGAACGAGCGAGTGAGGGAGATAGAAAGTGGCAAATGCATGTGGTATACACAGGACCTGGAAGTCTATTTGCCATCGATTTATTAACCTTCCGTTTGGCACGACCAATTCTAGGTCAAAGCATGGCATCGGCAACATTGTATTGGTACTGTCTATTTGCCTATTTGTTCACAAACACCAGATATATATATATATGGGGCAAGTATTGTCGTCACACAGGAAAAACTCAAAGAAGAATATGAAACATTTCTATTGCATTTTTATTTGAATAGATCCCAACAATAGGCCCGGATAAACAATGAACCGGAAACGATGCTTTTCTTGCCGCTGTATGACCGTGTCTCACCGACAACTCATCTTTTCAGCGCGATTCAAATCCCGCATACAACACAACTTGAAATATGATCCAATTTCAAAGAGAAAAGAAGAGGCGAAAAAAATAAAGGAGACCCAAACGACAATAATAATTAATGTCGAAGCATGTGTATCATTGCTGTGTTGGCCAACGATTTGAGTAACGAATGAGATTTATTTTTTTGTATCCTCGATGAATGTCATTCCTTGTCTGACTCACACACACACACACACACACCACACAAAACAGGCAATATCTCGGCATCATGCTGCTCTTGTATCAAATCAATGTCAGGTATGAAATGAAGTTTGATTGCCATTTTGGAGCAAGTAATGTGAGGCAATTTCATTCTGCACAATCTCACATCATCACAACACCACCACAATGGACATCAACTAACCGAATGCCTGTCAATTGCTTCGATTACAACCATATTTTAATTTCAATTTTAATTAAAATTGCAAACGTACTGTTGCTGTTGTTGCTGCTGCTGCTGCTCAGCATTGAGTTGTCGTCGATAGATCGACGATAATTTCCAAATGCTGGCTATCGCTTTTTCTCTTGCTGCTAAACATACACTTTATATATTTTTTCAGTTGATTAGCATTGAAAGCCCATTTTTTCTATGTTCTGTGGCAGTTTTGTGTTGTCACCGCGTGTTCTCGTTCACCGACTGCATATATCTAGATATATATATTGAGTTTTAACGCGTCACGAACTCATCGAAACCATGATTATTATCATAGAATGCACACATTCATTACTATTGTGGTATTTGATGTGAACCGTTGGAATGCAAATGTAAATTTTTCGTGATAAATATTTATATGGCTTGCCGCTGCACTTTGACACTAGTGAAGAATGTTGGGAGAAGTAGAAGAAGAAAAAAAACGGGGGCAATGTGTCGGAACTCTCTCGTTCATCATGAGATCGGCTCACCTTCGTGAACAGTGGAAAGCATACGATCGTGATCCAGTGAACAATCGAGAGCCGTCGGTACCGAAGATACCAAAAGTAAAGAATTTCGCCGCTATTCCACTCTGTGATACAAAACTGAAGCACATACCATTCGACCATAATGACTTGATTGATATCATTGGCCAGTTGAGAAATGAACGGGGATGGGATATCCGTGCTGATTATCGTACATACTACAAGCAAGGCGAGAACAAAGACGAGGCATGGGGAATTGTGTTCGATATGGACAAAATCAGACAGCTCAGAACCGGTTCGAAAGAGTTTTACCACAAAATTCAAACCAACAGTAGTGCCGTGTCGGTGTTGTTTAGCAGACCCAAACGCAAAGGAGCCGGCGTGACTCTGTCTGAAATCAAAGCAAAGTACGAAAAGCCAGTCAGCAAAGGCGGTTACAAGTATGAGTCAGGAATTGATCCCGGCCAGAAAACAAAAATGGCCTGCGTGCGTCGGACTCTCGCTACTGGAATTGAAGTAAGTTGAAATATCATATGAAAATTAATATAGATTTGCATTGTTGTTGTTCATTTCACAGACCAACATCAAATTATCGAGTATTCAATATCACTGGGGTGCGCGACAAGGAATGCGCGACAAACAGGCCACGAAAATGACCAGAAAGTACGTGCACAAAGAACAGCGCGACTTGAAAAGCTATCCGATCACATCCGTATCGCCGCGAGGATCACAATGGAAATCATTCATTAAGCACAAAATCAAAATGCTGACAGATTCATTGGCTACATACGCCAGAAGAAAATACGCACAGCTATCGTTGCACAAGTACATCGAGTCTAATCGCGAAATGGATTTGATGGCTAAACACATAACAAACAATGAGACAGGAGTTGTATTCCTTGGTGATGCGGCGTTCCCATCAAATTCGAAAATCGGTGTGAAAAGAACAAAACGATCACCGGATCAGCGAAAGTTCATAGTTAGCCTAAAAAAGAACGGCAAAACGGATGTTGTGCTTACACCAGAGCCGTATACATCACAAACCTGTGCCAATTGCTTGCGGCGATTTCCGAGAAGCACAAAAAGTGACCGATTCAAAGTGTGCAAAGATTGTCGCCCACACAAGGATGTGAGACTCCCACCGGTTATTGTGACTGATCGAAGCAGACGGCGCAAGCAACGTGATCGAAAACAAAATGCCAGCCAAAAGCCAACAGCAAATGTAACTAGAGCCGAAAAAGCTGAGAAGCACCGGGAAAAGCGTCGAAGTGAGCGCGAAAGCCACAATCCAGAGCAATTGGATACCGAAGAGGCAGTGAGACGGTACAATCGACGCATACGACGGCGTGAACTACGTCAACGACGTCGAGTTGCAGGCCATCGCAGCCGTAAAGTAACCAAACAGCCGGAAGCGGAATCCGATTTGCCAGGTTTTGTGAAAATTGGTGACACAAGTATTTGCAAGATTCGTGTCAAAAATCGTAAGGCCAAACCACAATTATGGCAGCGAATACATTACGATGCAACTGATAAAGGAATTGGGTTATTGGGGTCAAAGAAAATAGCCTTCCAGAAAAACTGGCACTCAAGCCCAATGAATGATCAGAACGCTTTTACTGCTACTTGGCATCGTGACATCTGTGCGGCGAAGTGCATCTTGTACAGAGGTATGTGATCTACACAATACAATCACATTCATGTTTTATTGTATTTCAATTTCGAGTTCAATTCGTTCATTCTAGGCCGTTGTATGGTTTTCGACTTGAATGTGCACGAATCATTTGTGTTACCACCAGAAAGGATTTGGCCAAAATGTCGAGATGACCAATCGAGTCGGCCAATCAAATGCTGTCGATGAAAAGTAGAGCGTAGATCAAGAGAATAAAATAAAACATTAACGATTAGTTATTATCAAAGCTTGATTTTTGTGGCTTTGTACATTAAAATGTGTGTGCAAATACACGATGTAATACGGCTTAAGCCCGTAGGTAAGTTGTTGTATGTAAGATTTTCTCAGTCAGTTGGTCAATTTCAATATCCACACCAATATTTACCAAAGTCATAAATGGACCTAGTTCAAGTGAAGCGTACAGTTGGATGATACTCGAGGTGGGTCCATTTATGACCTTGTTTCACACGTGATTTGTTATTTTGTTATCAATTGATTCATAATCGTTTTTATATCTTTCTAATTGATTTGTTTTTACCGTTTTTTTCTACTTCCATTGTGACGTTAAAAATGACTGAAACTACACACAAATGCGGGCCCTAATTCGACCGTTTACATACGCTTGGTAATGGATGTATTTGCGTCAACAATTGTTTCTTGGGCATAACAGAGGGAAATATGTTTTTGTGTGTAAGTTTTATTACCGATACGTGAAAGAAAGTGAATTAAATCTTACTTTGCCTCATAAAACATGCGTTCACTCGTGTTATTTTTTCCAAAATTTATGCGGTTTTCTTTGCTGCCGTTATTGTTGTTGTTGTCCCAGCTACAGAAAAAATGTGTATATTTATTATTGTGCATCACATCGATTAGATATTTAGTTTCCTGTTTGAATTCGTTCTTGTTTTTTTGTGGGGCCATCGTACTCATTAAATCGGTGTCAATTTTGAGTAGAAATACCTCGCGTATTCATTTTGAAATGCTGAATTCACGAACGAATACACTCGAAAACAAACAACGATAAATTTCAATAGAAATATGCAACGGAAAAAAGGTATTTTCATTCGAATAGATTATGTTCAATTCCGTTCGGAATAATAATAATAATAATCGCCATTGACGTCGTCGTCATTCATTCGTATTCACTATCTCGATGTGGAAATCACTGCGAGACGCTTTGACTAAGTGTATTTATCTCTCCCACAACATATGTGGACAAAATGTGAGAGAACAAAGGCAATCGCATTGCATCGAAACTCAAGATCGCATCAAATGACTGAAATAGTAAACAAGCTCCGACACAAAAGCCAACATATGCACTTGTGTTCAACATCAAAAGAAATATTTCTTTCCCGGTTTGCATCTCATGCACGTTCGATCTTGATACTTGTTTTTTTTTTGCTTTTTCTTCTTCCATTTTGTATGTTGAATACGATATTCGATTTAAATCATCGCTTCGTCTTCGAGTTGAGACTTCGCTTCAGCGAACATTAAACCAATGAAGAGTGAGACAGCTATAGAATAAATTTACACACAGAAAGGAAAATGATGACTTCAGTTACACGATGTGTTTTTTTTCGGTACGCAGCGCGATTTCGAACATCAATCAACAACGGTTTTGACACTTTGAATTCTTGCTCCAAATACTTTCAAGAACGAATTGGTTTTTGTTGAGCAACATTAGCAACAGCAATGCGACTGCGATGGGTCATGTGACGTACAATATCGAACACAAGACGAAACAACAAAAAATGAAACCAGATTTTTTGTTCACCAACAAATCGATTGGATAATAAACCGGTATATTCTCGGCAGTTTGGTACACTTTGGAAAAATGATGTTGATAAAATTTGTAGTAAGCGCACGTATAGTCTATAAACATATGATAGCGGTACTAAAAGCGTCAGCCATACATTGAAATCAGATACGATTACGAAATTTAAATGGTAACTATGTGTCTTTTTTTCTCGCGTCTCACAGAGAAAAAAATGCGATTCATGAAATGTGAAATGCGACTGAAAACCGATACATACACGTCAGCCAGGGCAAAGGGAAGGAGAGCATTTCCTGTATTTGTTCGATCCAATGAACAATTCTTAAACACGTTTTTTTAGCTATATCTATAGGCTTATACACTGTGTTTGCGCTGTCACGCTAATCTATTCGTTATCACAGTAAACATGTCTCCGGGTCTTGGTCTTGGGGTATTCATTTTGGTTTTGGAACGAAAAAGTAAAGAAAAAGAAAAAGCGACGAGCGGATTACTTGTTTGCCGCCAATGTGTCGTATCACTTGAAAATATAACACACAGTGTGACTCAAGTGATGTCTTGTTTCAATTTCCGAGAATTGGCTGACGATCATCTTAATTTAGTTAGCAGAGCAGTCGTCGGATTTTAGTCATTCGTAGTGCTTGCTACTCGCGTCTTCTTCAATATAATTCACAAATTGCGGCAGCCACCACTTTCAATGCAGCTACATTCATAAACATTTTAACATAATAAAATCTTGTTACAACAAGTTGTATTTGATTGAAGCAAGATTCGATCGATAGAGCGAGCAAGCAAGCGAGCGAGAGTGCAATAGAAGAAAGAAAGAAAAATAAAAAAGCACATACACAATAATGATGATAATGTCAGAAATTTTCCTAACAATGAATGAAATTACAAACAATAACAAATCTGAATTCCGAGCTCGTTTCGTGAATGGGCGCTCTCTGGGTTAACAACTAAAATGTATATATATATATATATATATATATATGTTCTAACTAAATCGCGTCTGACGCGAGTATTTCTCTTTTTTTTCGCTTGGTAATGCTCGCCGAAATCCAGCCGAATGCGGGAACTTTAACGTTCAATTCTATTAAAAGAAAACATCATTTTCGGGGATAAACGCGCGATTTGCAAAACCGTTTCTTTCTTCTTCTTCTTCTTCTATTCTTCTATTCTTATTTACAATAAAATGTCATGCATGGAATCGTTCTTCGTCTCGAAACTTACCCATATTTATTTATTGTGTGCGTGTTTCTCTCTCTCTCTCCGTTTCGATACTGTTGTGTGTTTTTTTATTCGTTTCTTTTCCTCTTTATTTGTTTGCATTGATGGCGTCTCCGCCCTCTTCGGTACTCACTCAACACTCGACAAAACGCACACACCACTATCTGTGGCAATAGCAGCAGTAACCAACAAACAACAATGTAAATTCTAATGTCTCTCTAGCACTCGTCTTCACTTTAATTTTGTGTTTTTATTTCCTTCTGATTTGATTCGATGTATGTTTTCAACAAGAATTGTTTTTCTTCGAACGTCGAATAGTGTTGTGATTTCTTGGAATTTTCTTTGTGGCTTGGAATTTGGTGCTGCGTTATTATCGCATTCAACTATTCAAATCGCTGGCCAATATATCCGATCAGTGTCCGCTGTGTTGAATGTTTTCGATATTTCCTTTTATGGCATTCACGTTTATTCAACTCCCAGCAAACGCTACATACCAAAAACAGATTTCATTCATTTTTTTCCCCGCAGCCGTTTTTGTTTTGCATTACTCTATGTGGCCCGTCGGCACTGTACTGCACAATTTTAGACTCGAATTTTTGTTTTTGCTTCTTTTTTGCTCACTTGTGAACCATGTTCTGAGATTTAATTTTTCCTTTCTTTTGGCTCTTTGGTACACCCAAACAACAACGCAAAATGCATCTATGGAAACGCACAACACTGTTATCGGGCTGTGTATGGTGAACGTAAGCGACACGATGGACGCCGAAGCGAAAAGTTTTCACTAAAATTCTTACAGGAAGCAAGAGAGAGTAAACGAAAAATAAAACACGACACTCTCAAACACTTGACAAAATCGAATATACATTGATTTTAAACTCAATTCCACGAACTCAATCACCAAAAACACATTGCATATTTTAACATTTAATTGATTATTTCGTGGCTTTGTGAAGCAAATATTCATCTGTTCTGGTCACACAATACACTCTGTTCCAAGAGAATCGGAGTTTGGTGCATTGATAACAAGAAAAAAATCGAATTAAAGAAAAATGGCAAATATTAACGGAGGCTAGAGTAAAACATTGAATGGCAGCAGCATTTTGTTCTTTATTGAATGGAAGATATACACACGAAAAATGGAACACACAACAAAATCGTATCGAATTATAATATCACTGTAAAAAAATATCTAATTCTCGTTTCACCTCTTGCTCACTCATCTAATCTCGCGGTGCGAGAAGCACTGTGCTCGCTTTTGTGTGTATAGTTCGACAGACACCAAATAAAACATCGATTCGCGTGTGTTTGAGATGTTATGCGTTTTACGACTGCTTTAATGACAGACGTAAGCTTATACGATCAACCATTGATGACGACCTTAGCCACTGAACAAAAGAGAGAAAGAGATGGAGCGAGTTGCCATATTTTAATGTTTTTTGTTTCTTCTTTTTCTCGATTTTACACACACGATATGTATATATGAATTCTGTATATTTTCTATTCTATTGCCCGCTGCTGTCTTCTGCGTGTTTCGGTTTCTTGTTTCTTTCGAAATCTAATTCAAAGGCCCGACACTGCATTGATGTGTTGTTGTCGTTTGTATGTGTTCGTGTGTGTGTACGTGTGCATATGTGTATGCGTTTGTCAATCAAGTCTTGGGTCGCATTGCGCTTGTGTTTGTGTTGTGAATTGTTTATTTTATTATTTTTCACAGAGTGCTGTATGCTGCATGCGTATGGGCGTGAGTGTGTGCGCACTCATATCCATGTCGTTGTAAACTGCATGATTATTCTCTTTCTCTCGTTTATGTTTTTTTTTTCTTTCTTGATCAGATTTCGGGTTTGACATTGAATGTCATTTGAACGATTGACGTTAGAATACATAGCATTTCTTCAGCACATCCCAAATAAATTGCATAATTTTAGGAGTTAACAACGTTTTGTTGTTACCGAAATTTCAATTGCTTTTAAATTATTAAAATAATTGAAAATGCGTGGAATTTGTGTCAGCGATAGAAAAAAAAACAATCGCAAATTTTATTGATATGTCGCAATGAAGCTTTGAGCTTTCAAAATGACAGCCCATGTGCATGTTTTGCAACTCATGCGCTGCACGGAATCGATTTTAGCCGAGAACAAAACCATTGCCTATTTGCAGTTGATGTACTTAATGTATGATTGGCGATGCACTCAACTTAATTTCAAATTTTCTGTTTGTCGATACCATAACAAACCGATATTGTTCTTACTCAAAAGATGTGCGGTTTTTCTATGCGCGCCAAATAAAAGTAAATAAAATATCTCGTACTAAGCCACAAGGCGTCGGATTGGAAAAAGTTTCACATGAATCGAAAAAAAAAATGATTGCGTATCAGTTTAGCCCATCTTGGATCAATTTAGCACGGCTTGCTTAAAGTACTGGTAAGCTCTAAGAAGATTTTCTCTCGATTGCTGCGAATTTCAAACGTTGTTCAAAGTTATACATCAACTTAATCGTATACTCACCCATTAGAATGCTCGTCCAGTCGCAGAGAGAAGCTTTCGAAGTGGAGGGAAAAAAACACGGATCCAATGTTTGCTTGTGATTTGATTTTTTTTTTTATTTTCATTTTTAACGTTTATTTTTGGCAAAATACACTGTGTGAATTTGTTACAATTATAAATATAGACTTTTTTGTAGGTTTTTTTTTCTTGATGAGTTTTTCACTCACTTGGTCAATAAATAAATTGGTACATGTAAACTTCATTTTCAACACAAAGAAAAAAAAAATTAGTAATTAAGCACATCAGAAATAAGTGATTATATGTGAAATACATTCGGTATGATTTTTTTTGTCATCGATTTTTTCAAGCGATTTCAGATTGATAAAAATTAATTGATTTTCGAAAGGCACATTTTGTTTTTTCATTTGATTGTACAGGGAAGTGTTTTTCTAACAAAAGAATAGGCATTTATGGAAATTCTCTCTAATTTTCTCAAGCAAAATATATTGAAGTTTTTGAATGTTCAACGAGTTTCATTTCTCTTTTGAACGATTCATTGAAACGGCAATTACGATCAATTTTTTTCAATCTTTTTTTTTTCTCAATATTCTGTTCACTGAAACATAAATGTGACATTAATTAGTGACTAGTAAATAATTTGATTTAACCATTGTATAACGAATTAATTTTTACATTTTATTAATTTTTTGTATCATCCCTGGCGTCATAATCGGAATCATTGACCATTTTGAAATGATTTTTGCATGAACAATCAAAAGTATTTGTTTGGTGTTGATATTCAGCTGATTCCCGAACGTTTCTTTTTTTAAATTTTTGTAAGGTGACTTTAAAAAAAAAAAACGTTCTCGTTTGTTTTCCATTTAATGGGATAAATGTGTGTTTTTTGTTGCTGCTTAATTGAAGCCAATGGAGACGCCAAAACGAAACTTGTTCTCTAGCGAATTATTCGCGCCAAGTTGATATTCGTGATTTGTCTCTACAACAATGGTGATGGTCACTAGTGTTTTTATTTTTTTGCTCTTTGATTTTCGATTTGATTATTTTTTAACTCCATTCAACTAAAAAACAAAATCAAAGTTGAATTTCGTCGTGGCTATGGAACACACATTCTGTGAAAGAGTTTGTTAGGCTCAAAGAGTGTGTAATATACCAAATAAAACAGTAAAACACGTTTCCGGTGATGAAAAATTAAATTACCCAAGAAAAAATGAATGAAAATTAGAAGAAAAATAAAAGAAAAACAAACATTATAAACTCGGAGAGAATCTTAACAGAAAACAATTCAACAAGTGGCGAACAGAAGAAAGAAGGAAGAAGGAAAAAGAAGACAAATCATAATGATTATGTTACATGATAAATTCATCAATAATTAAGTAAAGTTAACAAAAATATGCATCTCTCTCTTTCTTGCTTCAATTAAATTAAACCATTAATCAATAAAAAATATAATTATTTTGTTGTTGTTTTGCATTAGTAAACATTGTGTGTTCTCCTTTTCATATGTGTGTGTGTGTGTGTGTGTTGTGTTTGTGTGTATATGTGTGTGATGCAAGTTCTTTTCATTCTGTGTATGTTTTCTTTTTTCAGTTTTGTTTTATTCTTTCAATTCAAATGGATTTGTATCGAATTTTTGCGTCGATTTTCTCTTCTTCTTTCGGTCGGCATTATTTTCTGGTTATATACTTAGTTTGATTGAAAAACGGTACTGCTCAGATGTTGCTACAGATGCATCGGATGTTGTTCGTTCGTTCATTTCGGCCCGATGCATTTACAGTAGTAGTTTTTCAACGTAGTTACCGGGAAAAGTTCCAAAGAAGCCAGTCCGTTGTGAGGTGCCCACAAACCATCCATCGTCGCATTTCTCCAATACATACACCGTATCACCTTCCTGCAGTTCCAATTCATCGGAATTTTGTGGTCGATATTTGTAAATGGCTCGGTATCTGTACACAAAACAATTTAATAAAAACCAAACGCTTTGAGGTTGTTTTCTTTTGTGCGGTCGTTCAGAAATAGATGCGAAAATCGCTTTTATTTTAATTGATTCCCACACGCAATCATGTACGACTGAACTGGTAACAAAGTGCGTAATGGCAACGAGAGCGAGTCGGCAAAGCAAAATGGCTATTCAACAAAATAATAACAACAACAACAACAACAACAACGGGTTGCGAAAGTTTTCGGCGGTCTGCTGAATTGTTTGTAAATTTGTGAAAGGTTCCTGCGGTCTATTTTTATGAGCATTTGAAAATCAAACACGGTATATGTGCTGACTACATAATAACACCCGAACCGATTTGAAATTACGATATGACTAAAGTTTCATTGAGATATTTGATGTGATTATCGACATCGGGGCCTCTGGAATCAGAATCAACATCATGAACATCGAAACGGTCGGCGCGCAGACATCGTGTCAGCATTTACGGATATTAGAGATACCGATTTATATACAGTGTACATGCGATGTGACGCGAGAGCGTGAGCCAACCGTCCAAAATTGATTGTAACGAGACAGAGAGAAACGATGCTCAATTTCGACAACACACGACAAAATGTGTATGTGTGTGTTGATTTGATAATTTGCATGCATGCTTTCTACATATCAACGAATTTTATTCGATCTAAACTACTTCATCTCCACCTCGATGTGAAAATCGAAATGCATGTGATTGATCAGGCATGTTTTTTGTTTAAAATTCAATACGAAATTGCTATTTCGGTCTTATGAAAGTCAAAGGTTTAGATTGCAAATTGTAGCCAATCGCGATACAACTGCCTGTTTTTTGTTGTTGTCGTCATTTTTTTTTTCATTTCTCTTTGCCATTTCTCTCTCGCTTTTTTTGTTGCTGTCGTTTCATTTTGATGCAAAAATTGAATGTTTTACTTACGGTACTGGTTCCGAATTCGTCGTATCCACATGCAAAACTTCGGTCTTTTGAAGCGTTTTTGACGTTTCGCGAACAACAGGTGAATGGTTGCCGTTGGATATAATGTTGGTTGTTGTTGTAAAATCGGTCGAGTAATTGGATCGAGGTGATAATTGATAATTTGGCGATGTTATCAATGAATGAGATGCTGGCGCTCCAACTGGCTTACTTGGGACCACTGGCAATGCATCACTCCCAATATCCGTTAAAACCTATAATTTGAAGGAAAAAATGTTTTGTTCCGTTGTAAAGTTGTCATGGTTGCTTTCCATTTGAAATTGTAGTAAATCTAGGCGGTTTGCAAAAATTGCAACAGAGAAAAAAAACACTCACTTCAACATATGAAACGGGGAAGATTCCCTTTTGATTGGCAACTCGTCCTTCGAACCAATTATCATCAACTCGTCGGGTTAGTACGACTAGTTCACCCTTATGCAATGAGAGTTCAATCGCCGACTGTGCTTGGAAATTGAACTTGGCGCGCGCTTGACCTTCGGTTGGCTTTTTCGTTGGCAATCGTACACCATCCTTCGATATAATCTGATTTTGTCAAAGAGAGTAATTCAAATTAAATTGGATTGGAATTGTTTGTTCAGCATTTCAATCGAGTATTATTCGCTTTGAATAAAAAGGTGATTGAAAGAAATCAGAATAATTACCTCAACATAATTTGCAGGCAACAGGCCAATAGTGGCATTGATCTCACCCTCATACCAATTGTTATCGATCTCACGTCGAATGTGAATTATGTCACCCTTTTTGAAGCTCAACTCTCTACACAAAACAAAATAGAGAAAACATTTCTTCGACATATCCAAATACTTTCGTACGTCTTTCCAACTATTTATTCCTATTTTTTTTTAAAAGTTTTTCGGCTTTAAAATGCTTCGCTTTGTGAATTGTCACTACTAACCTTGATGTTTGTCCCTGGAAATTGTACAATGCACGAGCAACGGTTTTTGGGTAATTTGATGATTTCGTGACATAATCGTAAATTGTACCGAAGTCATCGTAACGATGCAATGAAATTGGCGATTTTTGTGATGGCGTGAAATTGTCGGTGTGTCGTCGATTATTCAAATCCTGTAGCTCTTGCAAATATTTGCGTCGTCGTTCCTCTTGGTACAATTTTTTAGCCTGTTCTTGCCGATGAATGAGTTCGGCATCCGATATTGGATCTTTAATCTCATACCGGACCGGCGTTTTGTAATGGATGTTCACATCAGATTCAACGTATCGACGTGCCGACTCTATGAAAATGAAAGATGTTTGAATTGTCAAAAATCGCAAGATAACAAAATATTAATTTCGATCTGAGTTTTAGTAATGCGAAATTCTGGGTCTTTCGTTTGTGTAAAAATATTTTCCTAAGCATTTCACCTAAATAATTGAGTAGAAGAGTCACCCACGACAACCTTCAACAATTTGCAATAGGAAATGAACAACAGCCATAAATTCATTCAGTATTTTAGACATGGAACAACAGATAGAATGTCAGACAGAATATTTGAAACGGGATTTTTGCCAGAAAAAAAAAGATATTAAAAACTAAGCGCAATAGCGGCCATTCTTTCTGTTTTTTTGTTGCTATTGTTGCTGCATACAATGTATCAGTTGATGGAATAATTTGCATTCTGGAGCGCACTGCTGGCCAAAAGACTCGGATTACAGCTATTCCACAGAATGCTGAAACAAAACAACTACAACAAAAACGAAAAAAAAAAAGAATTTGATCTCTTTCGAAGCAATTAGTTTTTGCATATATAGAACAATGGTCTACGACATTGCACAATTTTCTCGTGTTTCAGTGGCGATGTTCGGCAAGTACATGGAAAAAACACACACTTGGTACGTGTATTGTGTATGCACATCGCAAATTATTGTTATTATAATGCTAGCGAAACAAAACAGTGTACACAGTACAACAACGAGGAAAATTATTAAACACGACGGAACGACGGATGACACAACACACAACAACACAATAATTGATGTCAAAATAATTTTCTCTGTCCATGTGTTGCCTCTGCTCCATTCGTTCTGGAGCTGCGCTTTCGTAGTTTTCTTTTAGTCGGTGTCCATAAAACTGTACACGGATGTAGATAAAATAAAATTAGCACCACAATTTCGGATCCAATTTTAATTGGTTCGAATGGAAATCTAAGCAATTTGTAGACAATATGGGATTTTCATACAAATTATTCATAGCTAATTTAATCATTCATTAACGCCCACCACCCCCATATTTTTGCATAGAAACCCAATCAATCATAGCATGCAAATACCGTTGGCAGCTCATCAAATAGAGCAGATAGCAAACCACTTGATAGCCAGAGCGTAGATTTTATGGAAATAAATAACTATCGGAGAACAAGATCCAAGCGTTTTACATGGAAATCATTTGACTATGCACGTTGGCCGCTTAAACCGCTCATGCAATCAACCACTGTGAATGACTAGTGAAACAGAACCAAGATGGCAACGAATTCAACAAACAAAAATGGCAACGAATTCAATGGTTTGTCCAGTTGAAAGAAATTTGTAAGCTCCTTTGTAATCAAAGTCTAGATTGGATTTTCAACGAATCCATCCCAACAGAACATTGACTTTGAGAAGACGAGGATAATATACAAACAACATAATGCATTCTTTTTACAACATTTTTTGAATCATTTGCATTAAATTGATGAAGACACTGCTGGCCAAAAGCCATTTCTCCGGTTTGAAAGCATCGTTTTTGTAAAGAAAAATCCAATGAGAAAATGTTTTCTTTGTCGAAACGAAAATTTCGATAAGAGTTAATTTTTCTTTGAAATACCAACGCTTTGTAAATCACTGATTTTCTAAACGCACAAAAACTCGAATATGTCTGATTCAACTCATTCCACTAATTAGAATATCACATCAAAATTGAACCATTGTTGCAAAATTGAACTTTTTGGTAAACACAACAGTTTTTCACTTTGCCACCCAGAACAATTTCTATCCCCACGAATTATATTCTTTTCACATGGAAGTACATCACCGCGAGAAACGATTGCATTGGGAATTTGATAAACTTTTGTGCGTAAGTGTAGGTTTTAAATTAATTATCCCATTTGCTTTCGATGCCACACAACGTCCATGACTTCATCATTTTTTATGACGTTAAATATTGGCTGTAAACACACCGTAAATCGTAAATGTACACGCAACAATTTATGCAATTTTCTGCACTGGATGGTCACTGCTGGCAATGGCAATATTATCCGGAGCGACGGGAGATGCAATTATTTTCTAATGAAAATGTTCACTTCTACTATACAGATCGTTTGTTATTTTGTTGTTGTTTTTTTTCGTAACTGATGGCAGCACATTCAAAACAGCAATTAAAAACACGTATATTTTGTTCTGATCGGTAATTATGGGGCCTGAGTAAGTAATAAGTCGTGTGTTCATAAGTCGTTCTATCAATTGCAATGTGAAGAGAGCAACACCATTAACACACACACACACAGTCACACACAAGTGGAGAAAAAAAATATGTGGCAACTAAAAAAAATCAACAACATTCGAGGAATGCAACCGAACACCAACTTACTATTGGCCCGTTTGATTTGTCGCCATATTTCCATCTCGCGAGCCGCGTACGCTGCGTGAACCAACTCTATGAAGCTATCTGAATTTAATGGAAGCAACTATAATCTGACAATAATCGGCGCAGCCAGCAGACAAAATGCAACGGGTTTGAGAGGAAAAAAAAGACATGGTATAATATCATGTAAATTACTCTTGAATGCAGTTGAAATTATCAATTATTATTTACGTATTTTTCTTTCATCTTTTCTCCGTTTGCTCGCCTTTTCGGTCTATGAACGTGAGAGATCTGATTTTTTCTTCTTCTTCTTCTTCTTCTTTTTTTTTGCTCGCGCGAGCGCATATTAAATTATGTATCAGGTAGGTATTTAACAATTACAAAATGATTCAAAACGCTCTTTGAACGACGGAAAAACGGAGAGCCGAGAGAGAGAAGAAATGGCTGCTGATGCTGTTGGAAAATTTTAAGTGGAAAAGAAGCAACAACAACAAAAACCAACGATGCATATTTTTTTTCGTTGCTGTTGTGTGTTTCGTTAATAAGAAATTGAATAAGAAAAAAATATAATGGCATATTCATTAAACATTGAGTGAAAGAAGGAAAAAAAAAACACACACACATTGTACAAAACAAGAATTTCCTCTGTATGTTATAAACTGAACATGGACCGAGTGCGATTCAACTGATTTGCCCGCTTTCTCCGTCACTGCCACAGAACACTATTTGCAGCAAAAAGAGATGCCGAGCGCAACGTGCAAGAAAACCGCACGAAGTACATGCCTTGAAATGTATGAAGTTTGCTTGTTTTGCGGCAAATAAAGCTAATGTAAATACACAGGTGTAAAGTTTGGTCTTTAAATGACTATTTTTTTCCCTTCCATCTCTCTATATTTATCTATCTCGCCAAAGTAAATCTAATGGGGTTGAACTGGTTTAGTGTGCACAGTTTAATGAATATATGTGCCATTTGTGGCTAATCGGCCGATGCACACAAATCAAATAATTGCAAAGAACCATCTCGATCTGATTAGACCGGAGTGAAATGATCCGAGCAATGAATTCGCTACAACAAAAACGACAAACAACAATAACTGTAGCAGCAGCAGGAGCAAAAGCCTTGCCCATCAAAAACTCCGAATGGTAACGAAAAGCCATGATATATTTTAATGAGATAGATGATTGAAGGTTCAAACCGTGGATGCGTAATTAAAAAGTCATTCTGTGTTAGCTAGTTGCAAATTGTAGCACACAGGTGCATGATGTACCTGTCTTTCAATTTACTGAAATGTTCGTTTTCTGCATCCGAACTCAAGACGCTTTTCGCTCGTTCGCTTATTCATATTTTTTTGCTCTCGCAATGTTGTCAAATCTTGTACAGTTTGTGTGTGTGTGATGGAAAAAAAATCGCGATGCACGCTAAATGCGACTTAATTAAACTGTTATTTTAGAGCGAAAACGGAGAGAAACGGTTTTTAATATCCATGGGAATATTTGAGTTTGATATGTTTTGCTATGAGAACAGACGGTTTGGCGGTGAATCAATATGACGACCTGGCCTGAATCGACTCTCTATGCTTTATGGCACTTTGAATTGCAACGACCATTTTCCCGCAACTCCGTCAAACGAATGGAGTTAAATTAAATAGGAGAGACGTGCACTTGCGTTCCGTTTCGTTCGGCATGTTTAATTTTAAGCCACAGAAATATCCAATTTTTATTTTCCTTAACTTTCTTCTTCTTTTCATTTGGTGCAACATTTGCAATCGCTGGGCTTGAGTCAAGTAAGCCGCCATATCAGCTGTCACATGAGCATTTTGCGTGTTTGAAAAATTTGCGATCGCCTGCTCTTTTTTTTTTTGGTTGGTTCGTTCATTTCTTCCCTGCGCTCGGTCGGTGATATTGTGCCAAGCCAGCAGATGATTGAGCGAAGAAAATTCCACAACTCTGGATGCTTTCACTTTAAATGGCCGTACATAAAGCGCACATTGCTAATTCCAGACGAGGATTTGATATGATATACGGTAATTGAATACATTTGAACGCGAGTATTATTCTCATCTAAATACGTTTCTGTGGCACGCTGTGTGTGCTTCATTTCTCTCTCTCTCTCTTTCTCTCTCGACGATTGTATCATTGCAGCAGCGGGAGTACTACTACCAGCAGTCGCAGCAGTTGTTGTTGTTGTTAATTCACTCTCGTCGGTTTGCGCAGAAAAAAAAAGCAATTTCGAGTGTGGTGATGCACGTACATTTTAATATTGGAATCGAAAGTACACATTCAGCGGCCACAATTTTTATTCCAGGCACAACATTTCGTATGTTATTAAATGCTTTACCTTCTCTCGCACGTTCGGTCATATCTCGAGCTGTACATGTGAGCACAATGCACCTTAATGCGCCAAAGATTGTTATCAAGAAAGCAAACCGAAAAAAATTTTGTGGTCAAACAAAAGAATTCGAAATTGTGAAGGAAAAAGAGAGAAAAAATGGCAAGCGCTGCCGAGAGACGTAAACATACTTCACGAAGAAAAAAAATCAAGAAAAGGAAAAAGAAGAGGAAGAAGAAAAAAACAACCAAAAATGGTATGTGAAAAGGCAGGCAACGTTTTCACCATGCCACAAATACCGCACACAATGCATAGACGTACTTTGGTTACTCCACTTAAATTACAAG